AAAAAAAAAAAGAAAGCCTCTGGAGTTGACTCGGTTACTAGCAGTGAGTGGGACAGTTCCTAACCCATACACACGTTCGTTCAGTTGGACCCCTCCTGGCAGAAGGGCTCACCTCTGGGCAGGTGCTGTGCCAGGTGCTGGGGCTACAAGACAAATAAGAAGGGAACTTTGTACTTTTTGGGCAGAGGGCAGGGGTGGGCAAGAAACAATAAACAAGCCAGCAAAGAAAGTGCCACAGAGTTCCAGGTGGCGGTAAGTACCAGAACCGTGGTACCTAAGAGTGATAAGCAAATAAAGTACTCTAATGGACCAAACAGCAGGGGAATGTTTGCTATTTTAGATAAGTGGTCCAGGAAGGTGTCTCAGAGCAGGGGCCGGTGACCTGGAACCAGCCACGCAAAGATTTATAAACAAAAGTCCAGGTAGATGGGATAGTAAGTTAGGGCCTGAGATGGGTGCTGGTTTCAGGTTCAGGAAACAGCAAAAAAGTCTGAGCTAGGCTCAGTGGCCTATGCCTGTAATCCCAGCACTTTGGGAGGCTGAGGCAGGGGATCACTTGAGCCTAGGCATTTGAGACCAGCCTGGGCAACATAGTGAGATCCCATCTCTACCAAAGATTTTAAAAAATTAGCCAGGTGTGGTGGCACATGCCTGTAGTCCCAGCTGCTCAGGGGGCTGAGGTTAGAGGATTGCTGCACTCCAGCCTGGGTGACAGAGTGAGACTCTGTTTCAAGAAAAAACAGAAAGTAAAAGAAAAAAAAAGAAAGCCTGTTTGGCTGAACTATAGTTAAAAAAAAAAAAAAAAAAAAGAGTTGGGTGGTGGTAGATGCAGTCAGGGAGGTGGGAGGGGTCTGGCCCCTCCTAGGGTAGGGGTGAGATTTTATTCTAAGCCTGACAGAAAGCCCTTGGAGCCTCTTAAGCTAGAGAGTAATATGGAATGATGGCCAGTTGTGGTGGCTCACACCTGTAATCCCAGCATTTTCAGGGGCCAACATGGGGCGATCACCTGAGGTCAGGAGTTTGAAACCAGCCTGGTCAATGTGGCAAAACCCCATCTCTACTAAAAAATACAAAAATTAGCCAGGTATGGTGGCACGTACCTGTAGTCCCAGCTACTTGGGAGGCTGAGTCAGGAGAATTGCTTGAACCTGGGAGGTGGAGGTTGCAGTGAGCCAAGATTCTGCCATTGCACTCCAGCCTGGGCAACAGAACAAGACTCTGTCTCAAAAAAGAAAAAAAAAAAGAGTGATACGAAATGATTTACCTTTGTAAACGTTGCCGGTGTTTCTGCAGCCTGGGAGAACACCTTACCCTGATTCCCAAAGTGATTGCCCGAAGACATGTTGTTTGTATGAAATGCTTCATTTTCACTCTTCTAGATAGTGCATCCATTCTTCAGTGTCCCCAGCTCACCACACCCTATTGTATTCCTTGGCCCAGTTTACATGTTTATATCATATGCCTGGTGGCATGTGAGTCTGTGACTTCTGTCTCCATCCTCCTAGTGGTTAAGAATAAGAATCTGAGGTCCAAGAGCTGAGTGACTCAGCTCTATTTGAGTGACTCAGCTCTATTTTCTATACTATTTGAATTAGTAGAGAAAGACTCCAACCCAGGCTCTTGACTTGCAGTGCCTCACTGTTCACTTCACCCCAGGCACTTCCCTTGGCACCCCATCCACAGCAGTGACAGTTCTCTCCCTTGTTATAAACTATGCACCTACCCAGGCCTACAGGAGAAAAGAGCCATGTGCTTATTAAACTGTACATACCAGGTCAAATGGGCTCTGATATTTTTGATGTGTACGTTATTTGATTTTAATCAGCATGCAGAAGTTATTTTGTAATGTTTTCACTTTATTTCCTGTGCCTCTTTCCATGTGGACAAGTCCCCCTGCTGGGCATTCTAACAGACAACACTTCACAGTGTATTCAGTGTGTATTCATGCTGCAGCTAAACCATTGCCTGCATACCCTTGTGTGCCCATCTTCCTATTTCTGGGACCTTAGGTTATTTCCATTTTTTTCCCAGCCCTATAAACAGCACAGCTAGAAGTGTTTATTATCTAATACACATTCCTTTTCATGTATTTCTTTGGCTGAGATCTTCGGAGATTAAAGGTTAAACTGATTTATTTTTTCACAGATTAAAGGTTAAAGAAGCTGATTTTTGGCCGGGCGTAATGGTTCATGCCTGTAATCCCAGCACTTTGGAAGGCAGAGGCAGGCGGATCACCTGAGGTCAGGAGTTTGAGACCTGCCTGGCGAACATGGTGAAACCCCATTTCTACTAAAAATACAAAAAATTAACCGAGCGTGGTGGCGAGCACCTGTAATCCCAGCTACTCGGGAGGCTGAGGCAGGAGAATAGCTTGAACCTGGGAGGCGGAGGTTGCAGTGAGCTGAGATTGCACCATTGCACTCTAGCTTGGGCAACAAGAGCGAAACTCCGTCTCATAAAAAAAAAAAAAAAAGAAAAAGAAAGAAAAATGAGTTCAAGACCCGCCTGGCCAACATGGCGAAACCCCTGCCTCTACTAAAAATACAAAAATTAGCTGGGCATGGTGACGGGCACCTGTAATCCCAGCTACTCGGGAGGCCGAGGCGGGAGAATCGCTTGAACCCGGAAAGCAGAGGTTGCAGTGAGTGGAGATTGCCCCACTGCACTCCAGCCTGGGCAACAGAGTGAGGCCCTTCAC